GAGGTCAGGCCTGGGTGCAGAAGAAAACCATACATTCTTTTTTTAGTGTCTGGGGATCAAACATGTCCCAGCATAGCCCACCGGGGTGTTCCAGCAGTATAGGCCGACAAATCAGGTATCCAGGAGCCTGGTCCCACCTGATGATAGTTCTCTTGGCAAGAGAATATTACCTGGGTGTTCTCTTAAAGCAGTGGTTCTCAACCTTCCTGGTGCTGCAACCCTTTAATACAGTTCCTGTGGGTCACAAGCCACAGGTTGAGAACCTCTGTCTTAGAGAGAAACTGTTACCCATCTGTGGAAAAGAACAAATGTCCAGCGTCTTAATCCCACCCTGTATTCCTGGGTTGTCAAAGCATCCCCTGACCAACTCAAGAAGCCTTCCAGCCAAACAAAAGGAAGCATCCTTCTAATGCTTAGGGAAGAAGCCCTGAGGAGAGTGGCCTCCCTCAGCCCCTGCACTTGTCTGGATTTAGCCACTCTTACCAGGGTAGCGCTAAGTACCCGCTGGGTCTCCTGTGCTTATTACTTTCTGGCAGCACAGCCAGAGAAATCAGGTATCAGGGAGCCTGGTCCCACCTCATGCAAGCAAGTCCTGCCCCTTTCTGCACCTGTCCCAAAGTGTCAGTCAAAGTGGGGATGAGCCCCACCCTAGAGAAAATGTCTGTGCGGTGCTTGCACATTTAATTCTATATAATCTTTACAAGCTTCTTCTAAATTTCCAGTAACAAAGGAAAATAGGCTTTCTGTCATGAGCAGGTCTTAACTGCTAGGTTTTCCAATCTCCCTTTCATTCCCAAAGGTTAGCAAGGGAACAATAATTAAAGTCAGTGACAAATCAGAGTTGAGAGACACTTTGAAACTTTTGCATTATAATTAATTACAATTAGCTGAAGTCTTAAAGAAACCTAGAATTATTTTAAACTTTCCCATTTACACCAATAAACCAGAAGAAATCAAATACCCAGGGTTATCCTCATTGCTTTTCTTCATTTTCAAGAGACTGAACTGTAGCTGAGGGTGTAGGGCCATTCTTGCCTTGGGGAGTTGCCCTGGGCTTCCCTTCACAGGCCTCTGGTTGCCCAGAGAAACTGTATAAGGGAGTCATCTTGCCCTTTGTTTGGAGCTGACTTCTAGTTAACAAGGTTCAGCTTTTTTCTCAGATACATTAAAAATGCCAATTGAGGGTGGTGCCTGTGGCTCAAAGGAGTAGGGTGCCAGTGCCATATACCAGAGGTGGTGGGTTCAAACCCAGCCCCAGCCAAAAACTGCAAAAAACAAAACAAACAAACAAAAAAATGCCAACTGAATTCAATTTTGCAATGAAAAGCTTAAAAGGACCTTACGACACACCTACAATATTTGAAGCACACTTAAAACATCTGAAAAATACCACAATTCGCCAGTAACAAACCTAACTAAATACATAAAGCAAGCTTTTACCAACATTAAAAGAAAGCATGTAAACTACAAGGAGGGAGAGAGAAGCTAGAAGAGGTCGATAGAGATAAATAGGAAGCATTTGGGACCATGGAAGAGAAGAGAAGATAGGAAAAGCTGGGAGAGCATGTTTTACAGAAGGCCCTCCTGTGTCCTGGGGTCAGAACCATTGCTGGGGACCTCAGGGCCTCTGGGTACTACTTCTTAGCTTGGCTCTCAGCCAGAGAAAAGGAGTCAATACAGAACAGTTTCAGAAGTCTTCTAACATTCCCTTCGACTCCTTGGAGCCAAGGGGAATTAGAAAGTTCATTCCCCACCAGCCTCTTGCCTACCGTGTTTCCCCGAAACTAAGACACTATCTTATATTTATTTTTTCTCAAGAAGACACACTAGGACTTATTTTCAGGGGATGTCTTATAAAAGGTATTCCAGTCTTCCTTACTGCTCTGCACCGAAGACCATCACTAGGTCTTATTATTGGGGTAGGGCCTACATTTAACAAATGCATAGAAATCGTGCTAGGGCTTATTTTGGGGGGCGGGTCTTATTTTGGGGGAAACATGGTATGACCTGGAGGTCAGCAGCCACACTATGCACATTTACCAGCCGACGGGCATCAATATTATTGGCCTCCATTATTATATCTATAGAGAAAAGCAAGATAGAGGTAAGTGGTCCCATTGCTGGCCACAGATAGTCTTCTATCCCTATACGGGCCACCAAATATAATAGAGCTTCATCTTCAGTAGGTTCTTGGTCTCGGTGATTCAAAGAATGAATCCATGGACCATAGACTAGTAGTAAGACAGGATTTATTTACAGAATAGAAAAAAAAAATACAAAAATACCAAAGCTCCTGGCAGAGAGAACCCAGGTGGGGGAAAAAGTTCTCTTGCTCCCTCTCTCTATAGCTCTGGGCTCTTTGTCCAGGGGTATATATAGTCACATGGGGTCCTCTGTAGTTATCTGGAACTCAGTAGCAGATGAATGGCTACAAACCCTTTCATTCCCAGGCCTAGGAAACATACATGAAATTGGCCAGTCCTAGTAAATGGGGGGAGGGGGTTCCCTGTTCAGCAGCAAGTGCAAGGGGAGGGAGACCTAAGGTGCTGGTGTCTCCCCAGCAGTTGTCTGGCCCCTCAGGCTACTGGAGCCTCCTGTGGTGCCCGCCATGCCCTCCCCTTACCCTCCAGCCTGCTAATTTCTCGGCCAGCTGCCACCATACCAACACCACCAGGGCTGAGGCAGCAGGTCCTCCAGCTCAGCCTGGCTGAGCTGGCTGGGGGCCACCTGTCCTGTATAAGATTGGTCAATATCATTTGTCCAATTACTGTTTGCTAATTGATGCTTATGGAAGTTAGAGTCCTATCTTCCCACAGACACTGGCAGATAGGGGCACTATCTTCCTTAATGATTATATCTCAAAGGGATGGCTCCCCAGGTCTTTGAGAAAGACATTCCTAGGGTATAAAACTGGCAAGAGGCTGAGAGAAGATTTAGATCTCAAAGAGATAACGGATTTACCATAGGTTTCTAAAGTAAATGCTCTAAGAAAAGGTAGATCAGGCCTAAAGTCAGGAATAAACCTGTCTCAAGTTTAGTTAAGCTGAGGACAATGTTAAGGCTGTCTCTGTGAGTTCCCACTTCTGTTTGCAAAAAACCAGTGTTCCCAATGAACAACTAAGGAAAGCTAGTTTAGGTAGCTCATTTCAGCAGCTTTCTGTTTTTGGACTAGTTGAACCAGCTCTGAGACTTGGTAATAGAAGATATTTGCTGGATATTATGAACAATCAGGCATTTAATTAGGGGGATTTCTAAAAAGTAAGAAGACAGATAAAGATTAATGGCTGAAGCAAGTTATAAACTCAATGTTTGAGTACAGCAGTCAGCCAGTCAAGATTTCTACAGGTTAGGCTGGATGCATTCATAGAAGGGAGAGTAAGGATAACAGAGGCAATCTAATGGCTTTCCTGGTTTTCAGTTTAAATGCTTTCAGTGATGGCAAAGGCATAAGCTCATCTACAGTCATGGTTATTTCCTGGGGCAAACCATGGAAGATGTGAGAATTCAGTGAACTTCATAGTGGCCCCCACGGTAGCAGATACAGGCACAAGAGTGTTGTCCACATATAATTTGGCAAGGTGATAATTCCTTTCCAGTTCATATCAATTATCCAGCTTCAGCTTACAGGGCTTCTTTAGATACCTAGGAGGAAAGGGAAGTTAGCTGTAAGACAACCAAAATGTCAATAATATCTGGGCAGTCTTTTTTTTTTTTTTTTTTTTTTCAGTTTTTGGCCAGGGCTGGGTTTGAACCCACCACCTCCAATATATGGGGCTGGTACCCTACTCCTTTGAGCCACAGGCACTGCCCTTTCTTTAATTTTTTTGAGACAATCTCACTATGTTGCACTCAGTAGAGTGCTGGGGCATCACAGCTCACAGCAACCTCAGACTTAAGTAGGCTTAAGAGATTCTCTCGTCTCTGCCTCCCAAGTAGCTGGGACTATAGGCGCCCACCACAATGCCTAGCTATTTTTTTGTTGGAGTTGTCATTGTTGTTTAGCTGGCCTGGGCAGGACTCCAACCCTCCAGCCTCCGTGTCTGTGGCTGGTGCCGTAACCACAGCGCTACGGGTGCTGCGCCAAGGCAGGCAGTTTTTTGTTCTCAGTGGTGCCAAGTGAGGAGGATAGAAGAAAAAGTAGAAAAGTTACTTTAGAGAATTGTAGTCAGATATTCGAGGGTTGAAAAGTGGTAAGGACTGGCACAATGTATAAGACAGCGGGATCCAATACAATGTGGGTAACATCATGCATCAATAATTTACAAAGAAATGCAAAATATATCAAAGACAGCGAACAGGACTACAATCTGACAACTCGCAAGGGTGCACAATAGTGGTTTTTTTTGAAACATAAAATTTATCTCTACTCTCATGCTCCTTTTGATCAAAGACAGAATGAGATTTTTTTGTTTATAAAATAAGGCTAGCCTCATTTACCTAGGTGCGGAAAAACGGTAATTGACCATATATTCCTTTTTAAATTTTTCGTTGTGGCGGAGAACGCCAAAATGGCAGCAGCGAGGTGCCGTACTCAGGGTGGCTCCCAGACGCTCGGGGGCATTAGAGAACACCAGGGCAAAGGTTACGCTACGTGCCCCCCTCACGTACTTCACCCCTCACCTCACGTCCTTCTTGTCGCCAACGGGTTTTCGTCACACGCTTAACCTTCTACTCTTTCTTTCGTCGCCCGTCCGAACGCTAGTCAGCCTTCTGCCCCGCCGCTTCCCGCTTCCCGCTTCCCGCTGTCCCGGCCTTTCACCCCTTTTCTCAGAGCCAAAGTCTTAACAGACTAAGGGAAAACGAACTGTTGGGTGAAAACTCGTAAGGGAAGAAAGAGTAAGGACAAAAGACTTTTATCAGAAGGCTTTCCTGGTTGGTTCGGGACTTGATTCCATAAGATGAAAGTCCTTACCTTCCCTGAAGGAGCCACTGAATTCTATTAACTTGACTGTGTTAGATCCTCGAAAGTAATCCTTTCGAGTTGATCTACTGAATTCACGATGTCTGAAATCAGATTCAGCGACCTCACTTGGGAACAGATTGTCACCCTGGATCAAGTGTTAGATGAAGTGATTCCGATTCACGGACGGGGGCATTTCCCGACACTGGAGGTAAAACCAAAAGATATTATTTATGTTGTGAAAGATCAGCTCATAGAGCAAGGCATTCTTGTTAGAGATAGCCGATTGAATGGTTCCACGGCAAGTTACGTACTTTCAAGCGGTAATGGAATCAGTTATAAGGATCTAGACATTATTTTTCGTGTTCAGCTTCCAACTGATCATGATTTTCAGGTGGTAAAGGATGCAGTTCTTGGTTGTTTACTTGATTTTTTGCCAAAAGGTGTAAAAAAGGATAAGATTACTCTAAAGACCATGAAAGAGGCATATGTGCAAAAGATGGTCAAAGTTTGCAATAAGCATGATCGTTGGAGTCTCATCTCCCTTTCAAATAATACTGGGAAGAATGTAGAGCTAAAATTTGTGAATTCACTGAGACGGCAATTTGAATTTAGCGTAGATTCCTTTCAGATTATTTTGGATACCATGTTAGAGTTCTACGGTGACAAAAAAGTTAAGCTAACCAAAGAATGCTGTCCTGAAGTAGTAGCTGAAAGCATGTATGGAGATTTTAAAGAAGCAATGACACATTTGCAGAATAAGCTTATAGCTACCAGAAAACCCGAAGAGATTAGAGGTGGTGGCCTTTTGAAGTATAGTAACTTGCTGGTTCGTGATTTCAAGCCAGCTTGTGAGGCAGAAATCAAAACCCTTGAGCGTTACATGTGCTCTAGATTCTTTATTGATTTTCCTGATGTTGCTGAACAGCAAAAGAAAATTGAGTCTTACCTCCGCAACCATTTTATAGGTGAAGAAAAGAGCAAGTATGACTATCTTATGACGTTGCGCAGTGTTGTAAATGAGAGCACTGTTTGCCTCATGGGTCATGAAAGAAGACAAACTCTCAATATGATCACCATTATGGCTTTAAAAGTGCTTGGAGAGCAGAATATTTTACCCAATACAAACAACGTAACTTGCTTTTACCAGCCTGCCCCATACTTTGCTGCTGAAGGAGCATATCCTACTTATTTTGTAACATCTGGGCCACCACCCATTTTTTTCCAGCCATACCAACAACAGCAGTATCAGGGGCCAAATAGTATGATTTAAAAAAATATGCAGCAGAAACCTTGCTTTAATTAAACGTCTCTTAAAAGCAGGTTTCAAAATTTCATAAAATTCAAGATTCATTTATATTTTTTATGTAGTTATCAACTATTTTTCATCAGTAACCATCTTAAACTATCATCTATCGTAGTAAATACAATATCTATAAACCAACTACTTCGTATTATTTTTTACATGTTGTTGACTAGTGGTGTAATAACTTTTAAGTGCTGTGGACTACTTGAAATGACTTTCAAATCTTGCTGACTACTTATGACTTTTGAAATTGCTCTGACAAATGCCTTATAGACATCTACTTCTTTGACTAAAATATAAAAGGACAGACTCATTTGTTAAAATCCAGAGGTGCAGCAAAGACCAAATGCTGAAATTCATTTCCTCTGTGACATTGACTTCATTTTCAGTACTTTATTTTCAGTACTTAACAGAAATGCCTAATTTGAAAAACAGATCCAAAAGACATTAAACTGGACTTTGCAAGAATTTATTTTGTTTTCCAATTAAATTTGATTGGATACAAAATCCTACTATAGTTGAAGGACTAAATAATACCATCCCACCGTGCAACCAATACTCTGACCAGTTGCACAGATTTCTTTCATCTCCCAGCAATAAATTGAAAAGAATGGACATAGCTAGCTCTGAATGTGAAAGTTTTCTACTGTCTTCCATCACAAAGAGACTTTAAATGGTAAACATGAAAAAACAGACAGAGGTTTTCACCCATTGACTGTTTTATGGACTATTTGACTGCCACCTTAATATGTCTGGAAATATTCAAAGATCGTTTGCTAACATGCTACTCAAGTGCTTCCTCACATGAAATTGTGCAGAGCACTATCTGATTCAACAATTACATATGTTTGCCATATATCCGAGTATTTACTCACTGCATCTAATAGGCTACTCACAAATCGACTAGCAAGATTAGAACTGTCTTTTCTTCTCATAATGAAAATAATCTGTGACTAATATTATCCAGGATGACAAAAGGGGCGTTGTCCCGAATTAATGTAGCCAAGGCTCTTGGAAAACTTGAGTATTTCTCCTTGCTTCAGACTTTTTATGTGTTTTCATCTCAGTTTTTATTTACCACCACGTATTTTTCCATCACAGCGTGAGTCGACAGTCACACTCTGAAAATTTTTGATTTACAGACTGTTTTTAAGCTATCTTCTCTGGATTACAATATCAGATGCAAGAAGTACACCAAATATGGACTTTTCAAGTATCCAGTGTTTCTGAGATGTTTTATACCACAGCACCACTAGCTACTAGGATATTTCTGAAGAATTAGATATATGTTTTGCAGAACCTTGAGTCGTTACTACACTCATTCCCTTCTTCCGGACAAATGAAGAAGTTTTGAATACTAAATTTACAAAATAAAAATTAAAGAATAAAATTTGTGTGGCTGAAAGTTTTTGTAAGGATTCTCTAGATAAATCCTGGAGATGTACTATGAAGCATAGTGCTTGTGGTTCGCAGTAGTATACTGTATACTTAGAAGTTTGCCAAAAGAGATTATAAGTTCAGTGGTGTTCTTATTACAAAATAATAATAATTTGTGGGAGTGGGGGGAAAATTTGCAGATAATGGCATAAATTATGTTGCTGGTTTTACATGGGTACACTTTATCTCTAAACCCATCAAGTTATATGCATAAATATGTATAGCTTTTTGTCAGTTATACCTCAATAAAGTGTTTTAATAAAATGGAATCTTAGATAGGACTTTTAAAAGTCTGTTGAGCTTAGAATAATTCAGTTGAATCTATAGGTAGTTCCGGTAAAATCTTATGGTAAGTTCTGGGCTTGAATTCTATTTCCCAGTTCCCCCAAATACCTTACATTTCCTTAGGCTTCCAGGAAAAGACATTCCTTACTCAACTGCACCTCTGGGAATTCTGTAAGTCAGGTACCAGGACAATTTTCACAAGAGGCTTTTTTTTTTTTTTTTTTTTTGAGACAGAGCCTCAAGCTCTCCTCCTGGGTAGAGTGCTGTGGCATCACAGCTCACAGCAACCTCCAACTCCTGGGCTCAAGCGAGTCTCCTGCCTCTGCCTCCCAAGTAGCTGGGACCACAGGCACCTGCCACAACATCTGGCTATTTTTTTTGGTTGCAGCCATCATTGTTGTTTGGTGGGCCCGGGCTGGATTCAAACCCTCCACCTTAGGTGTACGTGGCTGGCGCCTTAGCCACTTGAGCCACAGGCGCCGAGCCCACAAGAGGCTTTGGAAGCATTAGCTCCATAAAGTCAACCATTGTTGTTTAAAACTGTCTGATCACATCTGATTCTATGCACATAATTCTCAAATATGGCATTCTGGTCAAAGCCTTGGTTATTTAATTCCCTTTTTCAATTATGTCCTGTTACAAGGATGACATATATTTACTGAACCTGTGCAAATAATTATATTGCCATAAAAGCAAGCATCATCCATAAGAGTTTCTGAATTTTGGAGGAGTCAGGCAGAGATAAAAACATAAATGTTTTGGGGCAGCACCTGTGGCTTAAAGGAGTAGAGTGCTAGCCCTATATACCAGAGGTGGTGGGTTCAAACCCAGCCCTGGCCAAACACTGCAAAAAAAAAAAAATGGATAAATGTTTTGAAACAAGGGGTTCTACATGGCCAACTAGAAGCAGCCTGCATAGCACTGCTCCTGTGGAGAGTATTAAAAGTAGCAACTACATAACCACCTTTGGCTCAATAGTCTAAATGAGACCATTAGGATTCCAGAGAGGAAACGGGAGTGAAGAGAAGAAGATAAGAGGTGAGATGAGCACCTTTGCAGGACTAAAGGTAATTAGTGAAGAAGCCCATATGTAAGCACACTCCAGCAGGTGGAATGGGAGGGCCCCACCACTGCTGCAGGCCTATAGACTAACACACAGACCTGACTGTAGGTTGTGCAGCTGTGTTTCTCCAGAGAGGAGGGATAGCTGGCTTGGGAGCTCTGAGCACTGCAGCTGGTGCCATTGTAACATCCCATCCTGGGAAGGCTGCATTTGTCCAGGGGTCAGATTTGTCACTGTTGCCCTGTGCTTGCCCTTGTCAGGTGGGCTGGGAGCAGCACTTGTGTGCCCTGTGAGCAAGTGCCATGTGCCCCACCACTGCCACCTCTGCTGTGGCCTTAGGTAGAGCAGGATACCATGGGACTGTTGTCCACACTTGTGGCCTGGCCAATTCTAATCAACTACATTTCCCACAAGAGCCGGGTGGAGCTTGCACCTTTAGCCCTTGGTGTCTACTGCCCACTTCCAGGACACATAGACTGTTGTCACCACAACTGTCTAGAAGGTCCTAAGGGGAAAAAAGCCAGCAGAGCCACAGCCTTTGAATCTGAGCAGACTGCATGCCACGAACCCACTCCAGCCTGCACAGATGTCTGGGTGCCATACACCATACACACCGCGCTCAACCAGTTCACCCCACCCTGCAGCCACCCTGTACCACACCCCAAGAGGCCTGTTCCATCTTGCATAGGTGCTCTGGTCAATTCATTACTCTGTCTGGTGATCCCATTCCACCCAGCTTGTGACTTGGTAGCCCTATCTTTTACCATATACAAAAATTAACCCAAGATGGAATAAAGACTTTATATAAAACCTGAAAACATAAAAGTTGAGAAAAATATAGGAAAAACTCTTTTAGACATTGACCTAGGTAAAGAATGTATGAGTGGGTGGTGCCTGTGGTTCAAGGAGTAGGGCACCGGCCCCATATACTGGAGGTGGCAGCTCCAGCCAAAAACTGCAAAAAAAAAAAAAAAAAAAGTATGAGCAATACCACCAGAATAAATATAGCAACAAGAAAAATAAACAAATGGGACTTAATTAAACTAACAAGTTTCTGCATAGCCAAGGAAATTATCGACAGATAATTATAGACAACCTACAGTGTAGAAGAAAATACTTGCAAACTATCCATATAACAAAAGGCTAATAACCAGAATCTACAAAGCACTCACACAAATCAATAAGAAAAAAAAAAAAATCAAAAAGTGGGAAAAAGACACGAACAGACTTCCCAAAAGACAAATGGCCAACAAAACAAATGAAAAATGTTCAACTTTAATAATTATCAGGGAAATGAAAATTAAAACTATCTTATCTTACCCTTGTAAGAACGACCATCATTAAAAAGTCACAAACCAGGCCGAGGACGCGGCAGCCAGCGCCTTGAGCCCCCTCGCTTCCCGTAGCTCTTTCCACGGGCGCTTTGTCGCGCCTGCGCCTTCCGTGGGCGGTTCCCCCTGAGGAAAAGTAATCATATCCCAAGTCTGCTATCCAGAACCTTCCCTCTTTCGACCCTTTTGTTGATGCAAGTAAGGGTGACGACCTGGTGGCACTGAGGATTATAGCCATGTAAGAATCCCGAGAAACGGCAGGAAGACCCTTAGTACTGTTCAAGGGATCACCGATGATTAACGGTAAAAAGAAATGAGTGAAAGCGTTTAAGAAATGTGCCTGCAGTGGTACTGTTAATTGTGCATCTAGAATATGGAGAAGTTACTCAGCTACAGGGTGACCAGCAGAAGAATATATGCCAGTTCTTTGTAAAGACTGGACTGGCTACTGATCAGTTCATGGGTTTTAAGTGCTGAGGATTTCCTTGCTAATGAGTAGAATTTCTCCCCTGTCCCTTGTCGCAAGTTTAGAAACTTTGATCCGGGGACTGTCTCCTGAAGGATGTGAGCTTGAGCTGGATCTTTTAAAAGATGTGTAGGAATTGATAGAGTGAAATGTGTGTGGGGGGGTGGGGGAGGCGGCAGGGAAAAGGGTTCCAAAAGGCAGAGGCAACAAAAACACAGATATGAAGGTGATTCGTAGCGTGAAGTGTGGGGAAAATAACAAATCCAGTAGTGTTAAACGGTAGCCCATTACAAGGAGGCTTGGATGCCACTTGAAAGAGATTATACAGTGTCTTTGAGAAAAGTGGATACCACTAAGGAGAAGTAGCTAACAAACTTCCAGATCT